GAAATGATCTGGGAACCGCGGGTCGCCGACGCGCCCTGCAGTCAGCGAGGAGCACTGAGGGCTGCATCGTGGAAAGATCATTCGCACCACCGTACGCGTCCGACTGTGCTGTGATGTGTTCAACTGGGGCAAGTGCAGTATACTAACTGCACGGCCGGGTCCGGCGTAACTCTGGTTTGGGCCCCCGACGCAGGAACCAGGATCCCCGACCACCCCCAGCCCCGATGACTCGGGAGTGGTTGGGCGCCCGACCCATCGAGCATAACTCTGGTCTGAAGCAACTCCCATGTGGGCCACCGGGGCACGAGGCAGGAGCTCCCCCGGACCACCCCGAGCCCTGATGATTCGGGGCTCCGAAGTACAGGAAGCAGGGTGGAGAAGCTGGTGGTGTAGACGCGCATGCTGCCTGGGTGCAGGCGAAGAGGCCCGCACGCCAGCAGGCGCACGAGCACACAAGCATGCGCAACCCGCGATGGCAGGCACGACCGTGAGCAATCAAGCGAGCATGAGCTGCCCGCAGGCGCAGCCGGGCAAGATCACAGACATGCGCAATCCACGTGAGCGACACAAAAAACGGGTCTCACGCGAGGTGGCATGGCGTCCACCCGCGGTGGCTCATGCGGGCCGCCAGCGCGCCAGGCCACATTGGAGACGAGGGTGACTGCGCGCGACCTTACGCGGGCAGCTCAGGCGCAGCCCCCCGCTTTCTTCAGGCACTCAGATGCGCTGACCGCACGCCGACAAGCAGGGCAAGCAAGCACATGCGCCGACCGCATGCAGCATGCAGACACGCGGAAGAAGCAAGCAAACACGCATGCTGGACCCACATGCGCAAGCCGCGTTCGCGACCCGCGTGCGAGTGCCACACACATGGCCTTCAGAGCAGAGCATGTTTTTTTTCGGCTACGCGTACGTCGCGAGAAAGTTAGAGAGAACCATCACTTCACAGATCTCGCCCGATCGTGACGCAGACGTACTTAAACATACCAGTGCCACTGTCGTCCACAGGCGCGCAAGCGGAAATTGCCGCTTGTCACACCATCAATCGACATAGAGCAGAACGCCACCGCCGTCATAGCGCACAGAACTTCAAAAGCGAAGCGACGGCGGGGACAGTAATCATACAACCCAGAGTTTTAAAATCCACGGGCGACTTGGATCCCCAATAATCCCTCACGATTTCGATCCAAGCGGATCCCCTGGGCACCCTGAACATCATGGAATCAATTCTTCCCAGAGCCGATCAGTCTGACAACAAGGACGCAGTTACAGAATCAGGCTCGCACGCCATCCGCGCTCCACCGCCCCTCCATCCTGTGACTGAGCAGTTTCTTCGAATACAGAACATAATTTCGAACTGAACCGAGCAACTGAAGTCCCCTCCCCAGACCAGCAACGAACACCATGAAGGTGCAACATGTCTGCTGTCTGGCAGCCAGCCCCTCCCGCTGCAGAAGGCAGTGGAACAGGTGGATGGCGTCGTTCGTGAGAAGACCAGGAGGGTAGCGCAGATCGACGGAGAGCACCTGCTACCGGCTGGCATCCATGTCTGACTCTCACTCGCCCTCTTGTCCTAACACCCCGTCTCTCTCTCTCTCTCAACATATCAATATCTCTCTCTCCACCCTCGCTCCACTTCTATTGCCGTAGCCCTTTGCATGTACAGTTACCTCGCTCTCTCCCATTTTCTCATTATCTTTCTCCTTCGCTGTTTATGTCTTTCCTAATGTGTCTCTCTCTCTCTTTGTTTTCTCTCTCTCTCTCTCTCTCCCCACACACCGCTCCCCAGTTTGCAAGAACTCGCAACTTGACGCATCGTCCCGAACTCGCAAGGCTCACGACAGGCTCTCCGCCCGATCGCACAGGCGCAGTCGCAGAAAGGCGGCGAACGAAAGTGCCCAGCAACGGTCGCGAGCTGTTGCTGGCGGACTTGGTCGAGACTGGCAGCAAGACAACAACGGCCCCTGCGCCCAACCGGCCACTGCCCTGCCACAGTCCGCGAAGTCCTTCTATAAGGGACAACATCTGACTCACAGAGACGCCAGGCAAACCCGCAACGCCACACAAGCCGACCTGCCAGTGGCAAACTCGCGCAGGGAACCCCAGCCTCGGGGCACAACATAGTTACACTGACAGCAAGAGCTACCCATCACAACTTTTGCCCGGGTATTTCCGTGCAGGGAAAGCGAGGGGGGAAGAATAGTAGGAGGAAGAGGAGGAGAAGGGCGAGCGTCGACAGAGCGCTCTCGCCCGCGCCCAACAGCACGCTCTCGCGCTCGACGCCTGCGGCGCTCGGAGGGGCCGGGCCGAGGCGGGGAGAACGCACGACGGCGCCCGGCCCACTCCAGACGTGGCGCCCGCACGGCGCGACCTGCCGAAGCCTCGCCCACGACCACCCCCCGATGCGGTGGGAGCCGGCTGGTGGTGCGGCCCGCCGCCGAGGCGTCGACCACGGCCGCCCCCATGGGACGGACGTCGGCTGGCGTTAGGGGCCATCGCCGGCGCGGCCTCGGACGATGCCGCTCCTGTGCTCGAGGCGGGGACACCGTCCAGACCCGCCGCCGGGGGACTCGACGTCCTGGGGCGCCAGCGGGCGGTGGATGCATATATATATATATATATATATATATATATGTCATATTTCGACCCCAGGGGGCCCGAACACGTCCACATCCACCGCCTGCCATGGTCCCCGAAGATCGGCCACTCGAGGCGGTGGCTCGGAGGAATACCTCCCCGCCTCGGAGCCTGGCACCGCCCGGGGCCCGCCCGAGGCCTCGCCGCATCGCAGCAGATCGCCGCACCGCTGGGCGTGGACGGGAGGAAGCGACAGGGAACGGCGCGAAGGCTCGCCCCAGCGGCGAGCCCCGGGGGGGACGCGAGCGGGGCCAGGCCCTCTCAAGGGCGGCGGAGCTCCTCGGAGGCCCTCGCCCTCCTCGGAGGCCCCTGCGCGCCAGCTCTGAAGCCGCAGGCAGCTTCTCTGAGGGCGCGCGGGCCTCCGAGGAGCCCCGCCGCCTTTCTGGTAAACAAATGTTTGAAGAAAAGGCCCGCCGCCTCTCGTTTCATTGCCCCCCGGGCTTGCCGCGATCGCTGCCCTGGGCCTGTGCCCTGCCGTTGAGAGGGCGGAGCTGCCCCCCTGCAGGGGGGCCTGCGGGGAGTGGCGGGCTCGAGAGGCGAGCACGGGCACGGACGAGATGGGCCCGCCAAGGCCCAGGCCCCCGAGGTCACGACGCTTCAGAGCGTCGACCCCCGGAGGTCTCGACAACTTCCCCCTGGGGGCAACGATGGGGGTGAGCCAGCTCAAGGGGGGAACCATCGAGCCTCAATCGGCGATGCATCGCCGACAGATCGGCGATAGGCCCTCGATCACGAATCCGCACGTTGCTGAGCGGGATGGGGCTACCAGAGCCCCATCGGCGATCATTGGGCGAGTTAGGGGTCGATGCACCCTCCCCCCCCCCGAGGCTCGATCGCTGCCCTCGAGGACGGCCGGCCCGCCGTGCCTCCGACGCCTTGAGAAGAAAGACGCGCGATTGTTACTGGTCTGCGCTTACGCCTCGGAAGGCCGCCTCCGGGCTCCGAAACCGTCCGGGACAAAGTCCGGGACTGGAGGCCGTCCCTGCGGCAAGGGGGGTCGGGACCTGACCGCGGGGGTCCCGCGGCCCCCGGGGAAGAGCGCTGCGTCGGGATGCGTCGGGGCCCTGGCGCGCCTATCGGGGGCGGCCAAGAGGGGGGCGTCCAAGAGGTGGGGGCGCAAACCATGGCCGGCGGCGTGTGCGCGGCAGAAGGGGAGGCCAGAGACGGAATGACATAAGAAGACGCGCCATGAAATCCGAGGAAAAATCATGGCCAACGCCATGATATCCCCCCCCCTAGTCATCGCCCCCCTCTTGGCCGCCCCCGAGCTTCTCTATGTCTCCTTCTCGCGGGCCCATGGCGCTCCCCGCGAGATGCCCCGAGCTGCCTGACCGGGGCCGTCCGCGGCGGCAGCACCGCCGACGACCGCGCGAGCGGTCAGCAGAGCCGAAGCCGACCGAGCGTGGCATGCCGCGAGCAGCCGAGAAGGACAGGGATCCTGCGCGGCAGCGAGGCAGCAGCCGACCGAGCCGACCGAACGCGACCCCCGAGCCGACGGCGCGAGCAAAACAGGGAGCCTCGCGACAAAAACCACGACGGGGTAGCCCTGGACCCTGGGTTTCGCTCTGTGAGGATCCCGGGGCCCGAAAGAAGGCGGAGACGCCCAGCGTGCAGGAAAGGAGCAGTGCCCAAACCCCAGCCGGAACCCTGGATTTCGCTCTATGAGGATCCCAGGGCCCGAAAGAGGATGGAGGCGCCCGGCATGCCGGCAAGGAGCAGCGCCTGGATCTCAGCGACCGACTGCGACGCAGCTGCACCGACCGACCCGCATACACCCCTGCTGTGGCACTGGACGAGGGCCTCCGCCGCCACCGCCAGGCGACCTCCTCCTCCTGCTTCTCCTTCCTCCTCCTCCTCCTCCTCGCCCAGATGTCAGCGACCGACTGCGACGCAGCTGCACCGACCGACTCGCGTACACCCCTGCTGTGGCACTGGACGAGGGCCTCCGCCGCCACCGCCAGGCGATGACGGGCCAGCGCAGGGAGCACGGGATGGGAGGAGGGTGAGGATGAGGATGAGGAGGAGGAGGAGGAGGAGGAGGAGGAGGAGAGGAGGAGGAGGAGAAGGAGGAAGGAGGAGAAGGAGGGGAGGAGGAGGGAGGAGGAGGGGGAGGGGGAGGAGAGGAGGAGGAGGAGGAGGAGGAGGAGGAGGAGGAGGAGGAGAAGGAGGGAGGAGGAGGGAGGAGGAGGAGAGATGGAGGAGAGGAGGAGGGAGAGGAGGAGAGGAGGAGGAGGAGGAGGAGGAGGAGGGAGGAGGGAGGAGGGAGGAGGGAGGAGAGAGGAGGAGGAGGAGGAGGAGAGGAGGGAGGCGGGAGGATGGGAGGAGGGAGGAGGGAGGAGGGAGGAGGGAGGAGGGAGGATGAATCACATCTCGGCGCCCTCCTGGGGGGCGCCGTGCGCGGTGGGAGCCTGCTCACGGGGACGAGCACGGGCAGGGCAGGGGCACAGAGCTCCGAGATCCGGCGGCTCTGCCACGTGTCATCGGGCGCCGCGGCCTCCTTAGAGCGCCAGGGGACCCTCGGAGAGCGCACCAAAACGCTCTGGAACGATGCATCTCTGACCTAATTACGGCAGGTTCGCGTCGTGTCGACCCCGGCGTTGGTTTCTGACACCGCGGGGATCGTTCAACCTTGAACGATCGGCCGCTGCCGCAACGTCCGATCGTTCAACATCGATCGATTCTGGGTCGCCGGCGGCGTTCAACCTTGAACGCCCGCGCTGGGGTCGCCGCTGGTCGACACGACGCAAACCTACCGTAGTCCCGCTCGAGCCTGCTTCGGGGGAAGCAGAGCCCTGTCTTCTAAAACGCCCGTCTGGGAAAACGATCCGGGACCAGAACCAGCGGGCGCAGGCCCGCAAAAAACGCAGTCGCGACCCCCCCCCCCCCGAGAACCGAGAAAGAGCAATTCGCTGGTCGACACGTTGGCAGGGAAAGTGCTCTGTCAACCTCTGACCGTCAAGCGCGCCGCGGGGACGTGCGTCGAGATCCTCCGGCTCTTCCCGCACCCTCCCCCGTGGCCCGCACAGCCGCGCGCCTTCTGGCGGATCTCCTCCTGGCTGCCCCAGAACGGCGCGTGGCCCACCAGCAGCTCGTAGACCTGCGCTCGGGGCGGGCAACAGAAGTCGGGGAGCTCGCACATCTACTTCACGAGGCACAGCAAGAGCGTGGGAAAAGCGGAAGAAACAATCGGGCAGACTGGATGAGGAGAGGGTAGCGCTAAGTCGGGCCTGTCCCCCTACATGGGGATTTTCGGCAATTTTTTTTTATACCCCAAACATGCCCCAAACAGGCAAACATACTCAAAAATAGTCCCCAAACTAATGTTTGGACTATTTATTGACTATTTTGGAGTATTTCTTATTTTTCGTCGAAAATCCCCCTGTAGAGGGACACGCCCGACTTAAACATACACCCGCGCGAAAAAAAAACGGGTCTTATGCACGATGCCACTGCGATCCTCCACGGTGGCTCACGCGGGTCGCCAGTGCGGCACGCTGCATGGGAAACGAGGGCGCCTATGTGCGACACTGCGCGGGAAACTCACGCGCGAATGTCCGCGCAGTCGATCCCGCTTTCTTCCGCCACTCGCCTGGAGCAGGAGAGAAGCCAAGATGACACCTTCGGCCTCCATGAATGCACGCGGGCACGCCTGAGACTTGCACGCTCCTCCCGTATACTGTCCTGAGGAGTCCCTTCTCGAACATGGGGGGACGCCGTAGCGCTCGCTCTGCTGCACCCCACTACAGGACCCCAAACTGCCGCGCGGCGCTTGTAGCGCCTGTAGCCGGGCACTGCCAAGATCAACTCATTGGGAAGGTGCACTGGGAAGGTGGGGCACGCTTGGGTACGGGGCGGCAAGGCGCGAAAATACATGCGGATGCTCTGAATCAAGTTCTCCACGGGAGTGGGACAGAGGACAGAGAACAGACGCTGTCAGGCTGCCCCCCGCCGGGAATCGTTGGAGGCCGCGGGCATGAGCGCCTCCGAGGGGCGGTGCGAGTCGGCCAGAGGGTGCCCTTCAGACCCGTCTTGGGCGGACGGCCAGGGGAGGAAAGGGAGGAGGAGGAGGAGAAGGAGGAGGAGGAGGAGGAGGAGGAGGAGCAGCAGTAGGAGGAGGAGGAGGAGGAGGAGGAGGGGGAGGGGGAGGAGGGGGAGGAGAGGAGGGAGGGGGAGGAGGAGGAGGAGGAGGAGGAGGAGGAGGAGGAGAGGAGGAGGAGGGAGAGGAGGAGGAGGAGGGAGGAGGAGGAGGAGGAGGAAGGAGGAGGAGGAGGAGGGTCCCGGAGGACCCGCCAGAGTTCTCCGGAGGCCTCCGCAGGTCGGAGGCCCCCGCGCGGTCCCTCCGTGTCGCGAGCGCGGCGCCCGAACCGGACCGGACGGGGAGCGGGGAGCGTCCTCGATGTGCCCCGGGCTTAGGAGAGATCCTACGCTCTCAGCATGCGCTGTGCGCAAGTCTGCCGTGGCGTGCCTGCGCTTGCGCGCGCGCGTGCGTCCGTGGAATGATGTGCCCCGGGCTTAGGAGAGATCCTACGCCCTTAGCATGCGCTGTGCGCAAGTCTGCCGTGGCGTGCCTGTGCTTGCGCGTGCGCGTGCGTCCGTGGAATGATGTGCCCCGGGCTTAGGAGAGATCCTACGCTCTCAGCATGCGCTGTGCGCAAGTCTGCCGTGGCGTGCCTGCGCTTGCGCGCGCGCGCGCGTGCGTCCGTGGAATGATGTGCATGTGCTATAGGGGAAGGAAACAGTGGCATGAGCATAAAAACTCGGAGGTCCGCGCGGATTTCTCGGATCGGCGCTGAACCCCCCCTCCCTGGCGCGCGGAGCGCGCCAGGGGCGGCGCCGGAGGCGCCGCCGGGGGGCCCCAGCGCCGATCCGAGAAATCCGCGCGGACCTCCGAGTTGTTATGTTTATGTCACTTTTTGTTCCCCTATGTGCGTCCGTGCGTGGTGGCAAAAAGCACCCCACAGCCTCATCCCACCGGGAGATCGGGGGCCCTCCGTGGGCACCCGGAGGCCTGCTCCTCGAGCCTCGGGCCTCGGGGCAGTGGCAGGACGATGTTGTGAAAGGACTCAAGACGGTGCGGTGGCAGGCCGTGCGGTGGCCTCGAACCCCCCACGACCTCACCGCGCGGTCCGTCACCGCACGGCTTTGGGACCTCGGAGGCCTCGGTTGCCTGAGACATCCCTGGAGAAGGACACAAGTCCTAAAATCGTGCGGTCGCCAAGAACCTCCACTGACTCACCGTGCGGAGTGGTCACCACACCGTTTGGGGGCCCCCGAGGCTCGGGATGGAAAGCTGCCCCCCGCCCCTCGGGGAAAGGGTTGAGAGGTCCACGTGGCCAATGTCTCAAAGAAACGGGGAGACATGTGCAGGCGCCCAGTGTAGTCGCAGGACGGACTGGCGGGGTCTCCTGGCTAGCGCGAGTCATGAGTGGACCAGCTGTGAATCGGTTGGGGGTTGGAAACGTTGTGACAACTGTGCCGCTTCAACCGTGAACCAACTGTAGACGTCTTGCTTCCGGCGATCCCCACCCGAGAACGCAGGGCGGGGTCTCCAAGGAGCAGCGCCCCCCTCGGGGACTGGCGGCGGCGGCATGCAGGTATCACTCGTCAGAAACGCGGGGCGTGACCCCAGATGAGCACAACCCCTTTTGGGGCCTGGCGGCCGCGGTATGCCGCGTGGGCGAGGCGGGTCGATAACGTGTTCCTAAAACCCTAACAGCCCCAACATGTCGGGCGACGAGAAACTGTAAAAAACTGGTTGTGGATCAGGCGCGGGGATTACTCACCTATGCTGAACTGGCTGTGCCAATCGTGGCAACGGCTGTGGCCCGCGCAACGCAGCGCAGCATGCGCAGCGTTTAACCAGGACGAATCGGACCAGTGTGGAAGCGGGGATGACAGGACGCAGCAGCGAAGCGTTGCAGCGGGGAGCTGCAACTGCAACGAGTTGGACAAACTGTGCCGTTCTGCTTTCTCGTTTTGATGAAACAATGCTTCGTTGCGTTTGATTGCTTAGTGTGTGAACGCGGTTGAATTCTCATTTCTGAAAACTTGTGTTGGTCCCCCTTGCCTGGTGCACATTGAATTTCTCAATTGAAGCGTCCCCCCTGGGCCTCGCAGCCGGTAATGTATCAGGGAAAAGCTTGAGCGTCAAACTGCGCCCCTGACGCCCGAGTTACAGCAACAACAACAACGGCTCCCGCCTGATACATTCTCACAAGTTGTTGATAAGTCGAGCTTTCGCGCGATAGTCCTTGCAGTGTACTCGGGAATCGCACTCTCGCATGAAGCCTCCTCACACTTGATTCAAATGCCGCTCCTCGACGTTCAGGGATCGCGCTTTCGCTTTGGACCTCCTCACGGTTTACTTGGGAGTCGCGCTCCCGCTGGATACTTGATGGAGATCCAGGCAGGATTCACGCTTCAACGACTCGCCCGCTCGACCCGCCCGTCGGGGCCTGCCCGCCCGACCAGCCCGTCAGGGACTGCCGTCGCCGCTCGCTGCCCTTCGCCCGCCCTCGATGCCCCCTCGTTGCCCGTACTGGTTCCGCGGTCGCCTTCGCTCGCTGCCCTTCGTGGCCCCGTTGCCGCCCTCAGTGTCCCCGTCGCTGCAATGTGTGGCCCCGCGTTGTACGCCCTGCGTGGCCCCTGCTCGCGCGCGCCCGTCGTGGCCCCATATGCATGCCCCTCGTGGCCCCGCCGTCGCCCTTCGTGGCCCTCTCGCTGCCCTTCGTGGCCCCTTTGCTGCCCTCCGTGGCCCCGTTGTCGCCCTACGTGGTCCCACATACGCACCCCTCGCTGTCCTACGTGGCCCCAGGGTTACCCTCAGCGGCCCCGTCGCTGCCCCTGTGCGGCCCCGCGTTATATGGCCTTCGTGGCCCCCGCTCGCTCGCGCTCGTCGTGGCCCGACATGCGTGCCCTTCGGGGCCCCGCTGTCGCCCTTCGTGGCCCCCTCGCTGCCCTTCGTGGCCCCTTTGCTGCCCTCAGTGGCCCCGCTGTCGCCCTTTCTGGCTCCGAATGTGCGCGCGTTTCGTGGCCCCCGCTCGTTTGCGCCCGTCGTGGCCCCATATGCATGCCCCAGGGGTCGGCCGGGCTTCGGGGGTCCGCATCCCCCTCGTCCTCTGCGTTGTCTCTCTCTCTCTTTCTCTCTCTCTCTCTCTCTCTTTTTCTTTGTTTTGTGTGTTGTTTCTTTTGTTTGTTTTCTCGCTCTGTCTCTCTCCCTCTCTCTCTCTCTCGTTCTTGTTTGTTTTTGTTTGTTGTTTCTCTCTCTCTCTCTACGTATACTTCGCAGTTTTGCCCCCCTTCCCTCCCTCCATCCCTGCTCCCTCCTCGCCCTCCCTCCCTACCTCTTTCCCTCCCTCCCCGCCAGCCTGTCAGCCCTTGAGCCCCCACCCTCCACCCTCCTATCTTTTCTCCTTCCATCCTTCCCTCCTTCCCTCCTGTTTTCCTCCTGCTCCTCCTCCTCCTCCTCCTCCTCCTCCTCCTCCTCCTCCCTCCGTCCCTCCCTCCCTTCGTCGTGGTCGTCGTCGTCACGGTCGGCCCTGTCCGTCCATCTTGGGGTCGGTATGCCGCTGGTCAGCGACTGCATGGTCAGAGTTGCCACTGGCCAAGCCGACGGTCCGCCGTTTGCCGGGGCCCGGACTTCCAGCCTCTGAGGCGCGCGTGTTCCACTGGCCCACTTCGAATGAAGCCCTCCCTCGCGGAGGCCTCCCGGGCGTTTACGCAGGTTTTCGGAGCCTCTGGAGTTGCTCGATGGTCTTCGGGGCCCTTCCGAGGCCCCCCAGGAGGTCATCGGCGGCTCCAGGTTGCTCTCCAGGTCCCCCCTCGCTTTGTTTCAGCACCATTCCCAGCTCGTATCCACCTTCCCCCACTTTTCCCACGTTCCCTCCCAGTCTTCTCCGCTCCTTTCCATTCTCTTGACTTGCGGTTCTTCCTGGCCCCACCCTTGCCCGGCTCGGCCCCATCTCACCCCAACCATCTCCACCCTTTCCCGCTCGCGTACAGTCCTCCTCCTCCTCCTCCTTTTCCTCCTCCTCCTCCTCCTCCTCCTCCTCCTCCTCCTCCTTCCCCTCCTTATCCTCCTTCTCCTCCTCCCCCTCTCCTCCAGTTTCCTCCGTGCGCTTCCCCGCTCCTCCGCGCTCCTCCCGGCGCTCCTCGTCCCCGCTCCTTGCCGCTCCACCTCCTGGGACCCTGCTCTTGGCCGCTCCATCCCACTCCACTCCACGCCCCCGGGCCCCTGCCCACAAGGGTGCAGCTCTCGCTACCCCCCCCCGCTCCACTCTCCCAACCTCTCTCTTTGCTTCTCTTCAGGGTCCCACGGATGTTGTCTCTTTCGCCAGTTCGCTGCTGTACGTCCCCCTGTGGGGGCGTCCACGATGTGGTATGTCAAGGGGGTGGTACATGGCGCTGTTTATGGCGCGACCCATGGCGAAACCTATTGTTAACCTGCGTTGGAATGGCTGGCACAGGCCATGGCGCATGTTCAATCGCCCCTCACAGCACAAATCATCGTCCTCCCTCCTTCTTGCCCCTCCCCTCCATCCCTTTCTCCCTCCGACCCCTTCATCCTCATTCTTTCCCGTGCTCCTCTATCCTTCGCTTTCGCGTTGAAGGGCTTCCCAAACTACACGTGGCAGGGAAGGAATATATCCCCCCAGAGGGGTTACGATGGAAGGCGAAGAGGGCGGGTATCCAGGCCTTGGGATATGCATATTGAACGGCACGCGAGCAGACAAGAGCGAACAGTTCTGTAATGATTGTTGCTGGTGTTGGTGCTGGTGTTGCTAGTACTGCTGGTGTTCTTGTTGTTGGTGCTGATGTTGTTACTGGTGTTGTTGGTTTATGTGTTGTTGTGGTTGCTGTTGCCGGTTTCGTCGGTGCTGTTTGTGCTGTTCTTGGCTGCTGCTGCTTTGTTTGCTGTGGTGCTGCGTTTGTTGATTACTGGGGGCCTGCCGCTCGCCCGAGAGGCAGGACTCAGAGGGCACGTGTGCCGAGCTGCCCTGAGCCCCGCGCGCACGGGCGCACGCGACCCAAGGCGTGCGTTCGGTGGCATCTTCAGGGCGGCTCACATATCCCATGGCGTCCCTATGCGCGTCGCATCCGCGTCGGATATGCGTCGCATCCGCAAAACCATGACGAACCTGCATTATCGAGTCCGCGTCGAATACGTGCCGAGCCCGCCTCGAACGCACGTCGAACACGCGGTGGATACAAGAACGACCGCCATTCAAAGGATGGGGAACAACAACGTGCGCGCGGTTGTGAATCCTCGACGTCGGTGGGCAGCACAAGGCTTGGGGATCCACTAGGCTTCAGGATATGACCTCAACTTGTGCCCACACCTGGAGTGTTGCACTTGTGCACCGATCCGCCCAAATGTGTCAGTTCTCGCTCTTCTCAGTACTCTTCCATAACGCCTTCTGTGACGTTCGTTATGCATCTCTACCACAATGGCGTGTGTATATCTTACATGGCCCGATGCACATGCCAAGAGGTCTCTGGAGGTCTCTGGAGGTTCAGGGCGGACGAGCAGGGGGATAGCGAAGGGGTGGAATGCACATGATCTGCATGCTCCCAGCGTCGGAAAAACGCCTGGGCATTACAGCGAGCAGAACGCCCGGCTACCGGCCCAAGCCAGATGCATGCAGCTGGTGCTGTGAGCCCCCCTCCCCCCTTTCGTCCGAGCGCAGGGAATGCCAACTTGAACACGTCCTCCTTTATCGGGGGCGCCGAAGATGACTGGCTAAGTTACCAGACGGCCCCAACCCAACCCGAAGGCCCGAACTCCAGGTTCGGGGGGGGGGGTACGGGTTCCACATGTGCTTTCTCAGTGTTCCCCGACATCCCCCCCCCACTGGAAATGGAGGGCAAATCGATGCCTTCGGAGGCTCCGCATTTGCCACGCCCCCAGTGGGGTGAGGGCGAGGAGGAGGAGGATAGGAGGAGGAGGAGGAGGAGGAGGAGGAGGAGGAGGATTAGGAGGAGGAGGAGGAAGAGGAGGATGAGGAAGAGGAGGAGGAGGAGGAGGAGGAGGCGGAGGAGGAAGGGGAGGAGGAAGGAAGGGGCGGCTTCGTGGGTGGCGAGAGGAGGGGAGCCAGGAGGACAGGCGTGAGCGCACCCCCCAGCCCGAGGCGCGCGCGCGCGGGCGAGGGGACGGCCGGGGAGGACGTGCCGCAGGAAGAGGGCAACGACATCGCGGAGCCGCACGGCCCCGGCAGGGATGCCCACGCCACCGTGGGCGGAGGACAAGCTACCCCCATACCTCTACCCTTTCCTCGTGTTCCCCCTTCTTGGGCCTCCTCGGAGGCCCTCGTCGTCACCGCTGGATTCGCCTCGAAATCCTTGTCAGAACGCACCCCTGGAGAGGTCGGGAGAGGTCAGAACGCAACTCAGGGCCACCGTGTAGGGGAACAAAAAGTGGAATAAACATCAAAACTCGGAGGTCCGCGCGGATTTCTCGGATCGGCGCTGGGGCCCCCTGGCGGCGCCTCCGGCGCCGCCCCTGGCGCGCTCCGCGCGCCAGGGAGGGGGGTCCAGCGCCGATCCGAGAAATCCGCGCGGACCTCCGAAGAATTTGTCTGTTTATATCATTTCTTGTTCCCCTAACCGTGGGCCCTCGCCCCGCTCGTCGGCGCCCCCGACTGCAGCTTCTGGTGCATGCGGTGGGCACCGACGAGGAGCACAATTGCTGCAAGGCGCCCGAGGGCACCTGTCTCGTCCACCTTTGCCTCCCCACGGTGTCCCAGTCGCTCTGCGGGATCCCGGGGCGTCTTGGGGGTAAGAGATCGAGAGCGGGGCACCTGCCGGCCGGCGTGCCCTTATTTGACGCGCCTGCTGCAGCATCATGTAATCCGGGCCCCTCAGGCGGGGCAGAGGCGAAGACAAACGGTGGCGGCGGCGGGACCAGGTTGCCCAGCGACCAGATGTCAGAGCCGTAGCTCTGCGGCAAGCCTCCGTGTGCGCGGGCCCCCGGATCGCAGGCGGGAAAGAGAGCGGGGAAACAGGGGGAGGGGCAGGAGTGCGAGGCAGGGACTTCTACTTCAACACGTGGGGACGATCTCAAAGGACCACAGGGGGCGGTGGCTTGGGATACATCTTGCGGCCCATGCTGCCCCGAAAATATCGATGTACCTATCTGTATACATATACACAACATGCACGTGCGTGCCCCTGCTCGTACAAAAAGGATTGCAGCACGCAAGCATCGCAGAACATGGACAATAAGACGAATATGAAGCCGGATCCGAGGGGGAGGAGGCAGGAGATGGAGAAGCAAAAGATCAGGCTGTTGGGAAGGAGGTGCAACGGCAGGATCGCAGTCGAACGCAGGTGGGATTGCCACATATTGCGATGCGCGTGTGGCGCAGGAGGGTTGTCAACACCTTGCGATAGAAATTGAGAAGAAGATCCCCCGACGCAAATTGTTGGAGGATGTCTCAAGCTCAAGCGAAACTGGCGTTCTGCAATGAGGAATGTGAGGACAACTTCGATTACGTCGGATTTCAATGCTGGGGGAGGCTTTTTGCGAAATGGCTGTGTTTCAGAGAACGACGTCTAAAACCAGTGAGACCCATGGTGCTTGTTTGAGGTCTCATGTTGAAATGCATGCTTGGGCAGTGACGTCGTGATCTGCGTGAGGAGTGCGTCCGGTCTTCTCTATGGATGCTGAAGATGTCCCTGCCGAAGCGGCCAGCAACAAGGCGGATGGATTCGAAATGAATCGCCTCTGAGCTCCACTCCCTCGGAGAGATGCTTTTGAGACTACAGTGTAAAGCGTGCACGCGTGCGCATGTAGACATGCGTCAACACATGCCTGCGAACATGTTAGCCGATGTGAAGCACACGCAATACGTTATTGCACTGCGGCAGTGTCAATCATGCGGTGAAGCCATGTGGTGCAACCGATGTGGCGTAAGCAATCTGTCACACGCTGTGTGGTGCAAACTACGTGGTGCTGTTACCCTATGCTCGCCAATGAATGGCGAACACCACTAATCGTGCAAACATCCGAACCTCCCACCCACAACTTGTTCCGCAAAACCCGTGCAGCCGCGAATGCAGGTATGCTTGGCGCTGGATTGCGCGCATCTTGCGGCCGCGCTTGCGAGCGCAAGCCCGTGCGCACAGCGGCCAGCTGGTTTGGCACAGCTGCTGCGGCCGCGATGGCGCTTGCCGATCGGAACTTCCCAACGCGTCTCAGAAGCCGCGTTGGCGCGGTGGCACTTCAATGTTGGTCGGTGATTCGGGCAGGCGCGATATCATCATGACATCGACGATGACGGCAACGAAAATGATAGTAGCGATGGTGGTGGCGATGATGACGAAGACGGCCGCAGGGCTAGTGACGGCGCCGATGCTGTGACGACGACAATGATGATGTCAACGTGTTGGTGATAAAAAGGTGGTTGGCTGATGATGACAACAATGGCGGCGATTGCGGACGACGATAACGGCGGTGATGCGATGGCACTGATGAGGGTGATGGTGACGACTATGTGGTGCAAGCTATGCGGCGCAATTAATCGAACCAATGTTGAATTGTAAACTCCACCGTTGGATATGCTCTTGGCCATTATTACAGAAGGTAAGAAATACGGCTTGGAACTGAACTGGGACAAAACTTTACAAATGCAAATCTCAACACACAGCGTAATATCACGACCAGACGGGGGTGCAATCAAGTCCGTCCGCGAAGCTGTTTACCTAGGAGGACTGATTACCTGCGACGGGAAAGTTGCCACGGAACTGACGCGGAGACTAGGAGAATGTACAAAGATGTTCAAGCAGTTGGATAAGCTCTGGAGCCACGCCTCGATTGGAAAACGGCGAAAGCACAGTATTTACACAAGTTGTGTGGTGAGCAAGCTGCTCTACTCATTGGACTCAGTTTGGTTACTGAAAGCAGACAGGGCGCGCCTTGATGCTTTCCACTGCAGGTGTCTACGACGCATTGTCGGCGTACCTCCTTCGTTCATGTCGAGAGTTAGCAACGCAGACATTCTGAAGAGAGCTGGCGCGAAACCTCTGTCGGATGTTCTTCTGGACAGGCAGGAGAAGGCGTACCTCAAGATTTCCAGAAGTGGGCATCCCTCCTTGGTGCGACAAGTTGTATGCGAGCCAGATGGGTCACCAAAGTGTTGGGCGCTACATCGACGACGAGGCCGGTCTCGACAGCAATGGGCTTCTTCAGTGTACGGTCTGAGGCAATCTCGCCTTCCTCCCTCCCCTCCCCCTTCTTAGTTTTGCAGCACTCATTGTACACTTGCAGTTCATGTTTTCTGTTCGGTTGCCAACGTCGCAACCTGAGTTTGCCAACGCGTCCCACCGGATGCACGGCCGAGCGAGCGAGCGAGCCGTTGGCACATACATCCCGCCCACCCGCAACTTGTTCGGCAACATCCATTCGGCCACGATTGCGGTTTTCGGTTAGATTGATTGTTACGAGCAGCGCATCTATACGGCCGCACTGGCACGCGCACGATCTCCAGCATATCGACAAATCGTTTGGCACAACTGACGCGACCGCGATGGCGCTTCTCGGTGTGCAGGCTATGTATTGCAAGCTACGAAGTGTAATATGCAACTGGCATGGTGCAATCCACGCGGCGCAAGCAATGCAAGCTATGCGGTGCAAGCTAGGTGGTGCAGGCCCGGTGGCGCAATCTGCGTGGTGCAAGCTCTCGGGGCGCCCATGAGGCGTCTACGGGCGGGGTTCCAGGCGAACTTCGGCAGACCAGCCTCAGAAGTCGATCTCTCTCTTTCAGCTTCCTTTTCTTCACGGGCGCTCGAATTAGAAAATGTTGCACCTGGTCGTTTTCGAAGGCGTCTGATACGAGGCCGATGTGGCATCACAGCAGCAATTCGGCCCCTGATTTTCGCCCTGGGTTCGGTTCAATGAAGTGATGAGTTTCGGGGTCCTTACGTGGGATAAAGCATCACTTCACTAATCTGGGGCCCCTGGGGCCTCAGTGGGCCCTGGGGCCCACAATTAATGAAGTGATGGTGTTCGGGCCTCGGATCGGAGGCCTCTGAGAATACGAACACACAGCCGAGCCGACACAACACAATATCAGTTTTTGCAATCTGGTAATCTGGGTTCGGGTGGGAGGGTCATACCAGCAACTTTGACATATTCTTGGGCTACAGCGAAGCATTGCTGGCACCCACAGCTGCTGACATACGGGAACATAGCCTCCAGGGACAGGGTTCCGCGATTTTGGCTCAAATAATCCCAAACTCACTCTTGCCTTCCAGGGTTTGATGGGCTCGATGGGTGCGGCCGCATATTCCATTACACGAAGTGCACTGACGAATCACACGAGAGAGATCGATGTGGGTAGTCATCACACGGGTCCTTTTTTCTCCACGGTTTACCATCCATGCAAAAGTCGGTGAAGTCTGTTCGAAAGTCCTTCGCAAACTCAGGAAGGTACCACAAGATAGACGTATGCGGGTTCGCCAATGAGCATGGAACTCGGCGGAAGCGACAACGCTCACAAGCACGAGCTGACAGATCGGTCCACGTATTGGCGATCCGAACCGCTGCTCAAGCCCTCGAGGATGGTCCGAGCTTCGAAGGGCTCCAGGTTCATTTCTAAGGCCTCGAGCTCTCGAAAAGGGCTTCCCACGATACACTGCCCAGATCACTCCCGAGTCGAGGAGCTGAAAGAAAACCAGTGGACAATATGTGGATTCATGGCGCCACTCTGGGGCCCATGAATCACACCAGCTTCATTCGCTACGTAGCCTGTATTACGCATAGCTTAAGCCTACTTCCCTGACCCCGAGAACAACTCCACTGCCACGCGAGGGAGGCGATGCTGTCGAACACTCACGGCAACTCTAAAAGATCCGGACGCTTCAAGGGGACATCTCCGCTACTGTTCCAAGCGGCGTCGGAGGAAGTCCGCACAGCGGGCGGCAGCGCCGCGATCTGCTCGTTGACGCGGTTCTGCTTGCCGCGGCGCCGAACGGAAGAGTCCGCCGACCAGCAGCCGCGAGCCTTGACCTCGGCTAGCCGGCGGACCCGCTGGGCCAGGTCGTAGCTGGGGCCGGCGCGGCGGAGCTGCCGGGCGACTGGGGCCTTCGGGGGCCCGAGCCGCTCGCCCGCCCTCTTGAAGACCGCGGGGAAGAAGCGGCCGCCGAGGTCGCTGACCACTTGGTCGTCGAGCCGCCCCTCCCGCTTCGCCGCTGCATGCACCAACGACATCACTGCGTTCAGGAGGCTGCGATGTCCGTCTGCGTCGATCGACGCGTTCTCGTCAAACTAGTTTGCTTTGCGCTGGACTCTGTCCTTTCTCGGGCGCAGCGCCAGGCACCAGCCTTCGGCCCCGCCGCTGCCTGCCCCGCGCGGCGGGGGCCAGCGGCGCCACCTCGTGCGCATCAGCTCGGACGGCCCGAGGTAGAGGCGGAATGCCACGAGGCCCCCGAGGGCGGCGTCCATGAAGCCGATGGAGCACAGCACCATCGCCAGGCCGAAGACCACCGTTGCTGGAATCGGCAGCCGAGAGGCCGCCGGCGAGAGCTTGTCGAAGCCCTGCAGCGCCCTGGCCGCGCACGGGAGCTGCTGGCCCCCTTGACATCCATGCTGCGGGAACTTCCGCCGAATGGCTGCCGCTGATGTGTTCCCGACGGCGCTCAATCCCCCCTCGAAGTAGAACTCGTCGAGATGGTACTTCAGGCTCTGGTCCAGAACATTGCTCGACCCGGCCAGCGCTTTGAGGCCCCTGATCCCCTGATCCTTCACGAAACGGCCCAGCGCTGCCTTGCGTTGCTGCTGCGCTGGCCGAGAGACGCTGCCCTGCTCGAGGAAGGAAAAGCTGCTCGCCAGCAAGGGCCTCCTCTCGGCCTCGTGAACACTGCGCCTTGTCTTCTTCCTCTCGGCCACGTCTGGGTGTGATTTGCTGGTCTCGGCGATCGAGCTGCCGGGGCGAGCCGCCGCTGGCCGCTTT